CTCACCTGTGGCCCGGCGAAGCGCTCCTCACATGCTCAGGAGCTCTCTTGCGCGGCGCTGAAAGTCCCCGAAGGGGCGTCCCTGCGGGTTGGAGGCTGTCCTTCCTTCAAAGCTGGCTCGGTCTGGCTCGGAATCTGAAAAAACACTTCCCTGGTTTGCGCAGCCCTCCCTTGACCCCGACTCGTAAGCCCGTCGCCTGCATTCACACGCAATGATTTCCCACCCACCCCAAGAAAAACTAAGGGAGTTGAAACCATAGGAAGGCTAACGTGTGAACGCAGCCAACGCAGACCCGGAGAAGCGTGTCCTGCCCAGACACGTGTTGGAGCTGCAGATGGTTCTGCGGCTGATCCCGAAGACGTGAAAGGAATGGAAAAGGAGGGGGGGGGGAATTCCAAGAATTGGCTCCTTATTTTCATGACGGCGGTTACGGTTATAACCGTAATGCCGATTGCATCGCATCTCCCTAATCGTATCATCAGATCTCTAATCCTTCCGATCCAGTCATCAGGCGCATAAATCATCTTTTTTTCCCTTGTCATTGACTTCCTTCTTGCCCTTTTCGTTGGTTTCATTTCCTCCTCTTTTTACTTTGTATTGCTTTTAGTTTGTGACAGTGTTTATATTCCTTAAAAAAGCAATTATTCATACGAAAAAAACCAATTATACATACATACTGTGCATACGGTATACCTGCGGTATACACATAAAAAAAGATTTTCGTGCAGTCCAGGCAGTCAACTTACAACAGTTTACTTAGGGACCGTTCAGAGTTACAATGCCACTGAAAAAAGGGACTTAAGACCCTTTTTCACACCTTTGCAGCCTCCCCAGGGTCATGTGATCAAAATCCGGAGGCTTGGCAACTGACTCATATTTATGACAGTTGCAGTGCCCTGGGTCATGTGATTCCCCCTTTGAGTCCTGACAAGCAAAGTCAAGGGGAAGCCAGATTCACTTAACAACCGTGTTACTAACTGAACTGTAGTGATTCACTTAACAACAGTGGCAAGAAAGGTTGTAAAATGGGGCAAAACCCACTTAACAAAGGTCTCACTCAGCAACAACAGAAATTTTGGGCTCGTAAGTCGAGGACTACCTCCATTGATTTATTTTTCCCAGGGAGCATTCTCATTCTCTCTCTCATTCTCTCAGACACACACATTCTCTCTCATTCTCTCTCTCACACACACATTCTCTCTCTCTCTCTCTGTTTGGGATGTACCCATCTATGGAATCACACCCCCCCGAAAGGTGGCTATATTGACCCTGGATGCCCACTGACTCATCTGGGTCAAAGATGGAACTTTCCCCTCTGCAAATCCCTGCGGCTCGGTTTTTGTTTTTCGTTTTTTAATTGGGGAGCCATCATGGGGACGTCCCTTCCATCCTGGCAGACCCACGTGCTTTCAAAGCCGCTACCTAAAGTCATCCATTCCCCCTCCTTCTCGGAGTGTCCACCGGTGGTGAGGTCAAAAAAGTCAAAAGGAATTCATTGATGGGATTCAGAAGCCAGCTCTCTTTCAGGAGCATCAAGAAGGTGGGATGGGATAAATCTTCTCCCCAAACAAGCCAAAAATGGAGCAGATGCGAAAGACAGAAATCACGAGACATTTATTGATTCCAACATTCGGAAGGAAATAATCAGTGGGGTTTTTTTGAGTTCATTCTGGGCAAGATTCGTTTTAACTTGTACAGAGTTAAAAAAAAATCTTGTAATTTTACATTTTAAATTGCAGGTGGTGTAGTGCGCCTTATTTTCATTGTGATGCTTCGGATGCGAATAAACAAACAAGTTTGTTTGGGCTGGGGGCTTTTAGGGAAGCACGTCACTGTTGGCTTTTCCGTGGCCAACTAGTAAGCAAAAAAGTAGAAAAATCAGGTTCCTACCATCGACTCACTAAGAGCATGGCAAGATCATCTCTCCGTGTTAAAGACTGAAAAAAATATATGATTTTTTAAATCTCCTTTGGGGAACAACTCCCTTTTCTGCAGAGAAGTATGTTTTTAAGAAGAAAATAAGCAGATTCCGCAGCTTAAGCTAAATCCAGAAGGGATCCGATTCTTCCCAGGAGATGCAGGATGAAGGCTGATGCAGAACTCCCACGTGGAGAATTTCAACTGGCCGCTGAGAAGCAGATGGTCAGCACTGGCACTTTGTGGACAAAAGGCTCTATTGAGACCCATCCTGCCCCTGGTCATGCTTCCCCGGCTCTGCCAGGCTGTGCCCGTCACAAAATCTGGGGTTTAGGCCAGGGAGACAGCTGAGAAAAACACATCGCCTTCTCCTCTTCCCAGCCGGGTGTCCCCAAAGCAGCTGCTATCATGCTGAGGCCGATGACCAGTTTGGGACGCTCACGCCTGTAACAGAGTCCTGGCTATGATCATCTTCATGATTTCATTGGTTCCTACAGACCACAGAGATGAAAACGGAGATGTGTTGGTTAGCAAACTGCAGAATGGCGGTGCAGAAGAGATACCCAAAGGAAGGGAATCCCAACTTAGCATCCTATGAAACTGAGCTTGCCGGCTCTTGAATAAATGAATGAATGAACCTTTATTATCAAAGTATAACATGTATACAGTGAGATTGGCTGAGCCTCCCTCCGTGCCCCCCACCACAACTCACAGTGACTACAAACCCCCAACTTATTACACCCTGTGAGCTAATTGCACAGCACGCCGGCCTCACGGGTCTGTCATGCATAACATTATTATGTCCCATTCAAGAGCCTGACATCCCATGGATAAAAGCTGTTCTTCAGCTTGTTGGTACGGCTGGCTATGTTTCTGTATCTCCTACCCGATGGTAGGAGAGTAAAGAGGTACCAACCAGGGTGTGAGTCATCCCTGAGAATTTTCCTCACTCTGCCAAGTCAACGGGCCGTGGCGATGTCAGCCAGTGGCGTCAGGGAACAGCCCACGATGTCTTGTGCCGTGCTCACCACCCTCTGTAATACCTTCCTGTCCGCGGCTGTCAAGCCAGCATACCAAACCACAATACAGTATGTGAGAACGCTTTCAATAGTAGACCGGTAGAAGAGGGTCATGACAGGCAGTCCTCGCCTTACGACCATATTTGAGACTGAAAATTATGGCCGTAGGTTGTAAAGCGGGTCACCATGTGACCGGACCTGCTTTTACAATCCCTTTTTACAGTTGTGGTGAAACCAAGCCATTGTTGTAGCAAAAATGTCATAAATCAAGGTCGTGGGACGGTGAGATGCTGCAAATGGCTGTCAATGCGTGACAGTTGCCAAGCACCCAATTGTGGTTCACGGAGGGGGAGGGAGCAATGTTGGAACTTCCAAACATATTCATAAATCTCTTTCCCGGGGGGGGGGGGAGAGGTGATCAGGGGCTCCACTGTAACTTTGACCAGTTGCTAAAAGGACTACCTGGTAATCCAATTTAGTATATAAATTATATTAAATATTCACATTTTCTTCTAAGCTGTTCCTTGCTTGACCGAAAGGAAATTCCTAAGTACAGGTGCACAAAACAAAAATAGCACATTTTTAAGTACAGTAAATTCCTGAATGCAATAACATTTTCTCTGATGTTCACGAACTCTCACATAAGGTGAGATTGTTAAGTGAGAATTGGCAAACATCAGAAAAAATGTTATTGCATTTCAAAATTTACTATACTTAGGAATTTACTATTTTTACTCTTTTGTTCTGTGTGACTTGTCCGTCGGCCTGGCTTTTGCTACTCTGTACAGCAGGGGTCTTCAAACTTGGCCTTTTTATGACTTGTGGACTTCAACTCCCAGAATTCCTCAGCCAGACAAACTGGTTGAGGAATTCTGGGAGTTGAAGTCCACAAGTCATGAAAGGGCCAAGTTTGAAGACCCCTGCTGTACACTCCTGTGTTTGTGTGTGTGTGTAACTAGCAGCAGCAGTTTTAAAGTGTGTTTTCTCAAGTCACAAAAAACAACTGATGTGCCAAGGACTTGATCAGGAATGGAGAGCAGCCACAGAGTCCAATATATGACTCAGGTTGCATTTAACTGGACTCGGCGTACATCAGGGAGATCCAGACAGTGCGCAAGAGTGGCTGTGTTTGTGTCAATCCAACTCACAGCAACTGTGTGTGTCAGTAGCCGGGGCCAAACTCCCAGGAAATGCTCGACAACCTACCTTCCAAAATCTGGTGGACCCTGATGTCCCGCATAAACTGTTGCACAGCGTAATCCTTCAAGTAGCCGTATCCGCCGTGCATCTGCAGAGCTTGATTGCAGATCTACAAGGAAGAGGAGAAACCCAGTGAAAACTCAAGCGCCAGAGAATCCTGGCTTTCCCAAGAAGAGGCACACCAGGGTCTAGAAACTTAAGGGGGGAAAGCATGTGGACACGGTCAGAACTGACAAGGAAGCTGTGAGAATGTACAGGTGGTCCTCGGCTTAACAACCACACCTGGGACTAGAATTCCCATTGAATGCAAGTGTGCAGCACCCAATTTTATGACCTTTTTTTGGCCACAGTTAAGTCAACCACTGAGGTTGTTAAGTGAATTACGAAGTCCTTAAGCAAATCCGGCTTTCCCCAGTGACTTTGCTTGTCAGAGACAGCTGTGAAGTTAGCAAATGAGGACCACAGGATTCCGGGATGCTGCACACATGAGTGCCAAGGCACCAAAATTTGGTTTCCTGTAACTGTGAAGATGCCGCAATTGTCGTAAGTGTAAGAACTGGTTGCAAACCACCTTTTTCAGTAGTGTTGCAATTTCCAATGGTGGCTAAACAAATTGTCACAAGTCAAAGCCTAGCGGTAACTTCTGAAACTTTAATAATAATAATAATAATAATAATAATAATAATAATAATAATAATAATAATAATAATAATAATAATAATAATAAAGTTGGAAGGGACCTTGGAGGTCAACAGTTCGATGTGGTATATATGTATAACAAGGGAATCTTTTTTCAGATTTTTTTTTTTGTGTGTGTGTGCAGAAATGGGGATCGGATGGCTGTCCAGATGTTCCCGAATCCTATTCTGGATGGACAATTTTCAGGAACTCTGGGAGTTGTAGTTTACAATGTCCAGGCTGCTGCAGCATTCAGACCCTGGAGCGTGTACATTTCTCAATGAAAGTGCAAGGCTGCCCTCTAGTGGCTAAATGAAGGAATTTGTAGATAATATAGAACGGGTCTGCAACCTTGACAACTTTAAGACTTAAGCTGGCTGAGGAATTCTGGGAGCTGAGTCCACAAGTCTTAAAGTTGTCAAGGTTGCAGACCCTGGACACAGAATCATACGGTTGGTCAAACGGTTGTCCCTCTATTTTCGAAAACCTATAGTGATGGAGTATCCACAATACCAAGGGGCAAGCTATTCCATTACGGCTGTTACGTATAAGCTGGGTTGACAAGATCAGAAATGAGGAGGTGATAAGCTGCCTGGGAAAGCCAAGGGAAATCATCAAAACAATTAAAAAACGAAAATTTGAATATTTCAGACATGTGATGCGACACCCAGAAAAATACGACACACTCCATTTAACCCTGCAGGGAAAGATTGAAGGCAAACAAGGTCCAGGCAGAAGAAGAACATCGTGGCTTCAAAATCTTAACCCTGCAGGGAAAGATTGAAGGCAAACGAGGTCCAGGCAGAAGAAGAACATCGTGGCTTCAAAATCTAAGCGACTGGTTTGGACAAAACTCAGTAGTACTTTTTTGTGCGGCTGCTGATAAAAACAGGATCGCCAACATGATCGCCCACGTCCGATAACGGATATGGCAGAAGAAGAAGAAGGAGCTATTCCATTAATTAACTACTCACGATTAATAACAATTAAATATTAATAAAATTAATAACAAATGCCAGTGACTTTTAGGGGACACATTACATTTCTTTTTCAATGGACACCCTGGGCTCTTTTGGACAGGAAGAACCTCAGGTGATCATCCTTGATGGAGAACCTTGCAGTCCAACATGTAGGTTTTATTTCAGGGACAGAGAGGGAGATTACACACACACACACACACACACAAAGGGATTTTACTTACTGCAAAGCACTCATCGGTGGCAAAGAGCTTGGCCATGGAACACAAAGCTACCGCATCGTGCCGCTGTTTCTGCAGAGCTTGGGCAGCGTTGCGCACCATCAGACGGGCAGCCACTAACCGGGTTGCCATCTGAGCCAGCTGGAACTGGAGATACTTGACAAGGAGACACAGGAAGCAGGTAAATCCTCACTCATCCCATTAAACCGTGGTTAAATGACAGTTTGTTGAGCTGGCTGGGCTCATCCATTCCCCTAAGCCAGGAATGGTGTATTCAAGCTGATGGCCAGCACAACTACATCTTAGGCCAGTGATGGCGAACCTTTTAGAGACCGAGTGCCCAAACGGCAACCCAAAACCCACTTATGCATCGTTGGGTGCCGGGTGGGTGTGGCCAATTGGGTGGGTGTGGTCAATTGGGTGGGCGTGTGGCTGCGGTAGTAACGGCAGATTGGGTGGAATTAAAAAGTTCAATCAATCAATTCCAACTTTGAGAGATCTTTTTTTTCTACACGAGAAGTTGAAATTGACTGATTGAACCTTTTTTTTTTTTGCACACGGTGGCGGAGGTCTAAAGTGAAAAGGTTTTATAAAACCCAGCTGAAGGCCTAGGATTGGGGCGATGGCGCGTGTGCCCACAGAGAGGGCTCTGAGTGCCGCTTCTGGCACCCGTGCCATAGGTTCGCCACCACTGTCCTAGGCCCAGTCTCCCTGATCTTTTAGGCTTGACGGGGAAAATAAAATGTTGGGAAACGGCTAAGGGCTACTATCACAACGTGGCTGTCATGTTTGGAATAACTAAGTAAAAAGCACCCATTTTGCAGAAGTAAAACTCGGGGATTACTTTGATCCTCTTTGCTGGAGAGATGGGTGCATTTCCAGGTGGAGTGCTCCGGATATCT